ATAACAGACAAATGGAATCAATAAATAAATCACTTTGACCAAAAGCAGAGTGGCAGAGTGCAAAGCTATTTTTTAGGTAAAGCAAAGCTTTGGCAGTGTGTTTGGATGTGTGGGAGGTACCATTGTTAATAAAACTCTGTTTTCTGGGAAAAAATAATAAATAATAATAATCATATAAAAACTTAATAAAATCTCATTTTATGGGTAAACATGGTAAACAAACCCCTTTTTTTAAACAGAATTTTCTACTAACGACGAGTATGAACTCTACTCCGTCCAATCTTCGATATTCCCTTTAAAAACTGTATTAAATAATTTTGTGGCTAAAATAAAGAAGCCATCAAAAAAGCTTTTTAGTTGCTGCATGCAGCTGAAAGCTTCTTTTGCAGTCGCTGCTGCAGTCAGTGTGTCAAATTGTGTGGGTGGGTGGGAAACCGGCTCGCCGAAGGCCATCTAACACTTGCACGCGGCTTCAGGCCTCTGTTTACTCAAACTTACAAGGAAACGCCGAGCCCTAAAGGACCGGAAAATTTTCCGCTTACAGATCAAAACAAGAGCATGGAAAATTTCGAGACCAAAACAGCTGATGGACGGCGGAGTGCGCTGCGTTAGGGGGTGGAAGAGCGGCCGCAGCGGGGTTTAATTGGGAAATGTGATGTGTGGACCAATTGGAATGCCGCTCATAAGAACGGGTCTTTGCTCTCAGGGGAAAGCGGGAAAATCAATGCGAGGGGGGAACAAGTGTGTGTGTAATTTTCACTGTATGGTTTTCGGAGTGCGAAAATATTTATGACACACGCACACACACACACAAATGTGCATGAATATTGATATTTACCACTAAAAAATTCCTTAGACTTCGTATTTTATTAACTTTTGTTAATGGTTAGAAATGTTTCAAGCGCGTCATTTTGAGCTATTTTTAGAATTTTCAACTAAATTTTTTACAGACTTTGATTTTTGCTTGCCAACGCGCCTCTTTTCTCTTCTCCTTCTCTCTCTTGCTCTTTCTCTTCGTCTCACTTCGCGACCGTAGCGTAGCAGCTGCTTCGTTGCGTAAATTATTGAAATTGAAAAGCGAGTGAAATAAAATATGTCAACACTTGGGGAACGAGTGTGACCTTTTCGGCAAGATATACGGTCTGATTGAACTTAGCCCACTCAAACACCCTCTGTTTAAATAGGCGAACAGCTTGAGTTAAACCGCGGTAAACAATACTGATTTTAGTTTGTTCTTGTACATCCATTCTATCTTTCTTTTAACTTAACTTTGAACCCTACGATATTTTTCACCTGAAGTACGCTACAATTTGTCAAGATTCATAATTTTCGTTGGGGGTGTTTTAATACCCATTAGTCAACAATGGGCTAATTCTACACTGTATATTATCGGAAGTCAAATTCATCAATTCTGAAATTCAATCTAAAATTACTAGCTAGCGAGGACTCTCAGCCCTAAACTCATAGTTTTAAACGATTGACACATCAATTTCCTATAAAATGGGTTAACTTCAAGTTCTCATCTTTTCTGGTTTGCTTATAAAATAAGGTTTAAGCAAACACGGTCGATAACAATTTTCACTAAATATATTTCCTTACATCGTAACTACACAGCTGCTACTTATTAACTACATTTTTATGTAATTACCAAAAGCGACACCTCAAGTGTTGACAATCTTGGCCGTTTTTGTTTCATATATGCCCCATGGAAGCACTAGTGTGAAAAACCTCTGGTATTCCCAAAAAAAAGAGGCATTTCTAGAAAATACTATATTCGCAAGAAGTGTGAGCACGACATGGTGGCAAGAATCAATAGCAGGTTATTTACGGCCCACTTTCTTTTTCTATTTTGGTATTTTTTTTGGTATTTTCTGACTCATACGTGGCAACTCTTTTCGAGCAGCTGTTTTTGCGACGCTCGGAAAAACGTTTTGCGGCTTTTGGTGTTTTGTGAAAATTGCTAATTTCCGCCGCGAAAATGGTGGCAAAAACCGGCAAAACCTCAAATGCGGAACTCAATTTTGTAAGTATTACGTTGTAAATACAGTTTGACGTTTGTTTGACACTCCGTTACGGTACGGTGTTCCTTTTAGGAAGAGGAAGATGTGCCCTATGAGGAGGAAATTCTGAGGAATGCCTACTCCGTGAAGCACTGGCTTCGCTACATAGATCACAAGGCCAAGGCGCCCAATAATGGTGTGAATCTGGTGTACGAGCGCGCCCTGAAGGAGCTGCCCGGCAGCTACAAGATTTGGTACAACTATCTGCGAACGCGAAGGAAGCAGGTCCGTGGAAAGATACCCACAGATCCCATGTACGAGCAGGTGAACAACACGTTCGAGCGGGCCCTCGTCTTCATGCACAAGATGCCGCGCATCTGGATCGACTATGGCGTCTTCATGACCACCCAATGCAAGGTGACCCGCACGCGGCACGTCTTCGACCGGGCGCTGAGGGCACTGCCCATCACACAGCACGGCAGGATCTGGCCGCTGTTCCTGAAGTTCGTGCAACGCTTCGACATGCCCGAGACGGCGCTGAGGGTGTATAGACGCTATCTGAAGCTGTTTCCGGAGGATGCCGAGGAGTATGTGGAGTACCTGCAGCAGGTGGAGAAGCTGGACGAGGCGGCCCAGCAGCTGGCCGACATAGTGGACAACGAGCATTTCGTGTCGAAGCACGGCAAGTCGAACCACCAGCTGTGGAACGAGCTGTGCGACCTCATCTCGAAGAACCCGCACAAGGTGCACTCCCTGAATGTGGACGCAATCATCAGAGGCGGCCTGCGGCGGTACACAGATCAGCTCGGACACCTGTGGAACTCCCTGGCCGACTACTATGTGCGCTCGGGGCTGTTCGACCGGGCCAGGGACATCTACGAGGAGGCCATTCAAACGGTGACCACAGTGCGGGACTTCACCCAAGTTTTTGACGAGTACGCGCAGTTCGAGGAGCTGTCGTTGAACAAGCGCATGGAGGAGGTGGCCAAGAACGAGGAGGCCACCGAGGAGGACGACATCGATGTGGAGCTGCGCCTGTCGCGCTTCGAATACCTCATGGAGAGGCGTCTGCTGCTGCTGAACAGTGTCCTGCTGCGCCAGAATCCGCACAACGTTCACGAGTGGCACAAGCGGGTCAACCTGTACGAGGACAAGCCCACGGAGATCATCAACACCTACACAGAGGCCGTGCAGACGGTCCAGCCCAAGCTGGCGGTGGGAAAGCTGCACACCCTCTGGGTGGAGTTTGCCAAGTTCTACGAGTCCAATGGCCAGGTGGAGGACGCCCGCGTGGTCTTCGAGCGGGGCACCGAGGTGGAGTACGTCAAGGTGGAGGATCTGGCCGCCGTGTGGTGCGAGTGGGCGGAGATGGAGCTGCGCCAGCAGCAGTTCGAGGCAGCCCTCAAGCTGATGCAACGTGCCACGGCCATGCCCAAGCGGAAGGTGGCGTATCACGACGACTCGGAGACAGTGCAGTCGCGCCTCCACAGATCCCTGAAGGTGTGGTCCATGTACGCCGATCTGGAGGAGTCCTTTGGCACCTTCAAGACCTGCAAGGCCGTCTACGAGCGCATCATCGACCTGAAGATCTGCACGCCGCAGGTGATCATCAACTATGGCATGTTCCTCGAGGAGCACAACTACTTCGAGGAGGCCTATCGGGCCTACGAGAAGGGCATTGCCCTGTTTAAGTGGCCGAATGTGTACGACATCTGGAACTCGTATCTGAGCAAGTTCCTCGCGCGCTATGGGGGCACAAAGCTGGAGCGGGCCCGCGACCTCTTCGAACAGTGCCTGGATCAGTGTCCCGCTGAGCATGCCAAGTACTTTTACCTGCTCTACGCGAAGCTGGAGGAGGAGCACGGTCTGGCCCGGCATGCCATGTCCGTCTACGATCGCGCCACGTCCGCCGTCAAGGAAGAGGAGATGTTCGACATGTACAACATATTCGTGAAGAAGGCCGCCGAGATCTACGGCCTGCCACGCACCAGGGAGATCTACGAGAAGGCCATCGAGGCCCTGCCCGAGCAGCATATGCGCCACATGTGCGTCAAATTCGCCGAGCTGGAGACGAAGCTGGGCGAGGTGGATCGAGCCAGAGCCATCTACGCCCATTGCTCACAGGTGAGTCGACATTTAACCGTTGGATCGTCAATATTCTAAGCTCTCTTCTGCTTTGTCCCAACAGGTGTGCGATCCCCGCATCACGGCCGACTTCTGGCAGACCTGGAAGGAGTTCGAGGTGCGACATGGCAACGAGGATACGATGCGTGAAATGCTGCGGATCAAGCGCTCCATTCAGGCCACCTACAACACTCAGGTCAACATGATGGCTGCGCAGTTTGTCAACACGAACACGAATGGTGTGGCTGCCGATGCTGGTGCTGGCTCCGGACCGGATGCCATGCGGCTGCTCGAGGAGAAGGCCCGCCAGGCGGCGGCCGAGGCCAAGCAGAAGCCCGCCGAGAAGGCTGCCTCCAATATCATGTTTGTGCGTGGCGAGACCCAGGGCGGGGCCAAGGGCAAGGAAAATACAGTCGTCAATCCGGATGAGATTGATATTGGCGAAAGCGAGGACGACGACGAGGAGGAGGAGGACGCGCAGCAGCCGAGTGGAGACCAGGCCGAGGCAGGCCAGGCCACAACCAAAACCGATGACGAGGGCCTCATCATGAAGAAACTGCGCTTCGAACAAAAGGCCATACCGGCCAAGGTCTTTGGCAGCCTCAAGCCGACAAATCAATCCGATTCCGATGAGGGATAAATCTTGTTTCTTTTGATTACGCGAAATATAAATGTATGTCTGTGGAATACTTCCTTCGATTTGAGACCTATTCATCGTTTTGTTCGGAAATTCAATAATTCCTCGAATCTCAGCAGGCGTTGGCAATGTTTTCCTGCCGGAGTTTGAGCCTTGGGATATCTCATTCCTTTCGCATCAGCTGTTGGAAGCACATCTATTCTCTCTATTTTTTAGATTTAAATTTTTTTTTATTCGGAAAAAAGCCAAATTTGTCTGAAACTGTCTGAAAAATAAGATAACTTTCGTAACCTGTCGCGAGGGACTGTCACTGTCACTATCATTCAGCGATGAAGTCTGTACGCTTGATGCACGCCCTGTGCAGGCGTGTCGAGCACACATCCCTGGCCAGACTCAGCGTTGTGGAACTGCGACGGCAATACGCCGAGAAATGCGACTCGGTGATCAAAGGCGTTGTGGTGGGCGTGTACGCCAAGGAGGGCGACCGCCAGCCCAGGATGACACCATCCGGCGAGAAGTTTGACGATCGTGTCCAGGGCAAGATCACTGATCTCATACGCGAGACGGGCCTGAATGGCCAGCTGGGAAAAGGCCGTGTCTTCATGAACGTGGATGCGGAGTTCCGTGCGGTGGCCGTGGTCGGCGTGGGACGGGATGGTGCCGGCTTCAACGACCTGGAGATGATCGACGAGGGAATGGAGAACGCTCGCGTCGCTGCCGGCGTGGGTGCTCGTGCCCTTCAACTGCAGGGCTGCACAGATGTCTTCGTGGAGTCGATGGAGTATGCGGAGCAGGCGGCCGAGGGGAGCGCCTTGGCCGTCTGGCGCTACAACACCAACAAGCGCCGTCAAGACCGCACACTCATTCCCAAACTGGAGCTGTACGAGTCTCCCGACTCGGATGCCTGGATGCGGGGCCTGTTCAAGGCCGAATCGCAGAACCTGGCCCGTCGCCTGTCCGATACGCCGGCCAATCAGATGACGCCCACAATCTTCGCCCAGTCAACGGTGGATGCCCTGTGCCCCTGCGGGGTATCCGTGGAGGTGCGCAGCCTGGACTGGATCGAGTCCAAGAGCTTGAACAGCTTCTTGATGGTGGCCAAGGGCAGCTGCGAGCCGCCGATCATCTTGGAAATCGCCTACTGCGGCACCGCACCCGAGGACAAGCCCATCCTCCTGTTGGGCAAGGGGATCACATTCAACAGCGGGGGCATCTGCCTCCGTCCCAAGGACTGCTTGTCCATGTACCGCGGCTGCATGTCCGGTGCAGCCGCCTGCGTGGGCGTCATCCGAGCCGCCGCCGCCCTATCGCTGCCCCTAAACATAACGGCACTACTGCCTTTGTGTGAGAACATGCCCTCCGGAATGGCGGCCAAGCCTGGCGACGTGGTATCCCTCCTCAATGGCAAAACTCTCGGCTTCGTGGACGTCAGCAAGGCCGGTGTGATGGCCATGGCCGATCCCTTGCTCTACGGCCAGACGACATACAAGCCTCGCATGGTCGTGGACGTTGCTACAGTGGGCTACGCCGTCTGCCCAGCTCTGGGCGGAGCAGCAGCCGGGATTTTCAGCAATTCGAACTTCGTCTACAAGCAGTTCGAGAAGGCCGGTGGCCTTACGGGCGATCGCGTTTGGCGTCTGCCCCTGTGGCGCTACTTCAAGGAGCTGATCATGCCGAACGAGACCTTTGACATCAGCAACCGCGGGCGTGGCCCCGCCTCCAGCTGCATCGCTGCCGCCGTTCTGCACGAGCTGGTGCCGTGCGTCGACTGGGCCCACCTGGACATCCGCAACGTGGGCATGCTGACGCGCCACAATCCGCTCCCATATTTGCTGAAGGACCGCATGACTGGCCGTCCCACTCGCACTATCGTTCAGTTTCTGTATCAGATAGCTTGCCCCGACAGCAAGTAATCTGATTATGTTCGTTACACAATTTCTTTGTTAATGTTCCGCGTTCCAAATTTGTTGTTAATTGAAGTACCCCACCACCACCCCCCTAACATTTTCACACAAATTGCCAAGAGGTACACACCCCAAGAGGTTACACCCACACATTTTTATTATTGTTCAATTTTAATCCAGAGTTTTCAATTGAGCTTCCATGCTGATTAAAGGATCAAAAGAACTAGATCAAATATGCGAAAACGTCGCCATTTTATTGTTGAGATTCATTATAAATAGAGAATATACATGACATTTAGGGCAAATCTAGGCGTGGTCATTACAAATCGGGCTCGTTACAAACCTCGAAAAACATTTTTGCAATACAAAAGGTGGAGAAATTAGCCGCTTTTTTATAGTTTCAGACGCACTCGTGCTCTCTTCTGTTCATCAAGTCCGTACTTATGCTCATTATTGCGTTGCTATTGCTTACAGACGCTTTACATATGTACATACATACATATGTAGAGCTCTCACATGCACAGCCAAAAACCGCAACTGCACACACATGCACACACATACAGCGATGCGTTCGGTTTTTGCATGGGAAGCGACGCATCGCGTGATCTTCCTATTCTCTTTCACTCGCCTTCTTTTCGTTGAGTGGAGTTGCTCGGAAATTTCAGTTGCCGTACCGTTGCCTCTTAGCCGCGCCTACCACTACCTTAAACTACTAATTTAATAGGATTATAAATACAATCGAAATGCGCTAAGAATACTTACATAGTTGGGTTTCAGCTCATATATGTACATAAGTCAACGTGTCCCGTTTCTTTGGTGATTTGTTGTTGTTATTCGACCAAAATTTGTTGCCTTCTCGTTTTATTCGTTTTACCGTTGTAGCTGAGCGTCTTTGGTGCTAAGTGCGTCTTGCGGGAAAAATTAGTGGATTATTCGCGCACAAAAAGAGCAGATCGCGGAAAGAAAAATATGAATAAGTTATAAAATTCATTTGTGTTGTTTGTTTTTTTTATAGTGCTTTTGTGTGTGTGTGTGTGTGAATATAACGACAGAATGGAAACGGCAAGGAAAGAACAGAAGAACAGAGAGAATGCAGCAAAAACGCAAGAACCGGGAAAAAGGTAAGAAAATGTTGTTTATGTTTTTCTTTGCTGTACGATTATAGGCGATGTACAAAAAAGATAGAAAACAAAATAGATCAATAGAATTTTGTTAGCTCTATGTTTAGTATGGAGTTCTATGGGGGTTCATCCAATTTTAAGTTCTCACAATGAGAGCTATAGATTTGTCGACTGCGCGAAACAGAACGGAATATTCAAAAGCGATTAATTTTTGTTTAATAGAAGATTAATGTGGGTTTCTATCGAGTAATTATACAATAAATTTCGCATGTTTCCTTTTTTTACTATCATTAAATTACTTAAATTCTCCCATAAATGATTTCTTAAAAGCCAACTAAGTTATTTGTTTAGGAAAAAGGCAAATAAGGGGAAAATTTTTACCAAGAATCATCTTTCTTATAGAAGAAAATACTAAAGGAAAACATGACTATAAAAATAACGAAAAATACCGAAAAAGTCAACTTTGGCTTATCTTAAAAGGTTTTCAGTTCAAAGCTAATGTTGGTTTCGTTCAATTTAGAGAATAATATCGGGAGAAACGTATATGGAAATGGGTTTAATTATTTATTCTCGTATATTGTTTTTTGACAGTGTAAATGCCACAGTTTATGCCTCGCCCTGACTCCCTTTATTATTGTGATTTTTGTTGTTGCTGCTGTTTTTGGTCAGGTGCTGTGAGGAGGTGGGGGCATGAATGTTTATGTTTCCGACTAAAGTGTATCTTTTGTAAATCACTTTCGAGCTCCAGAGCCATGCAAAGGCTGAGGTTGAAGGTTGAATTAAAATTCCTGCACTTATAATTATCTCCTGCTGTTGTCCTTTACGGACCCACATGTATGTACATACATGTACATACATGTGTACATATGTACTTCCTTTCACCGCATGTATTTTCAAATGTCAATTAGTTGAGTTAATTGAGCGAAAGTGCAAAATGTGAACCACAATATCGTTTATACACATTTACGGAATTCACTCGCCTCTCTCTCTCTCAATCTTTTGGCTCCTATTTTCCCCTTGCCCCCCCCTGGTTCTCGGTCTTTTGGCCTTTGTTGGGGCAGCAGCAGAGCCCTTTTGCGAGGCCAGCTTATTAGGCTAATTGCGTGAAGTTGGCTTTAATGAGTCGAAAAACGGTGCCAAGTCGGGCCCGCAAAAGGCCACAAAGGGTTGTTGGGGGTCTGTTGTGGCTTTGAATTTATGAGGCGGCTTTAATGGGTTAACTGGGTTAATGCTCATCCCTCAGCCCATCAACTATCCGCCCAGTCTCCCACTCCTGTCATTGTCGTGCCTTTTCATAGTTCTCTGGCCTGCAGCTCTTTCTGTACATTTCTCTCTCTCTCTTGAATTTTTGACAATTAAGCAAACATTTTGCTACCAAAAATGGCTCAATTTTCGTAGCAGATAAGAGGGAGAACACCGCCCTCAACGCCAGCCCCCTTTCTGGGAGTCGAAGTATCTTTCGACATTTTGCACAAGTCATTAGGCCCTGAAAAATGATAATTTTTTGAAGCATTTTTGCATTTTCCAATTCGGAAAATGCTCTGACAGAATATTGGAGCCTTCCACTGGGACTTCAAGTGGGAAAAACTCAATCAACAACAAACCGAGTAGAGGCTCTCTCCATTGGGAAATCATATTTGGCCCCTCGCTCTCCCACCGCACCAATCGAACAGACCAGAGAGAAAGAGCATTGACTCTTCGACTCTACTCGACTCGACTCGACTCCTTCAATGTGAATGGCTCTTCCTACTGATAAGTCAGGGGCTAAGGGGAAATGGCCCCCCCTCCACGGCCCCCATCCAGCACCACCACCAATCCCCGGCTGTTGGAGTGCAGCCAAATGAATTTGCTAATGAGCAATCGGGCTTGAAAACGAATGCAAGTTTTCGGTGAGAGCTCTTTAAAGGGCGGCCTTCCAGGGAGGGAGGGGCCCCGGAGGAGGACGCGTTAATCATCTACAGCTTCGGTGCAAGGGAGGCCACAAAAGACCAAATTGTTATTATTTAAGGCCAAAACGTGGAAATTAGCGGCGCAAATTTTTGGAGTTTCGGACAGTTGCCAGGGCAGCTGGCCAGCGTCGGAAATTATAGCCTACCCCAATTCATAACGGTATTTCGGGGGCGAAAAGATACGAATAAATGAAAATGAAATCCTTTTTGGCGGGGGGACGAGTCCGTGGTGGGTGTTCTCGACTAGAAAGAATTGCAATTGTGATAAAATTCAGCGTAACTAATGCCGACCACAGCGAAATGCGATAAATCGCTGGTTGGGCGTCACCGCGATACCCTGTACAATGAAGGTCCATCAAAGGGGGTCCAATTTAATTGAAGTTGATCCGTAAAACCGGTATATCTTTGTATTAGATGAGTATTCCACTCTCTCTTCTTTTCGTTCATTCTCTGTCCATCATTTGAATGAATGCCTCTGTATATTCGATATTAATTCGGGTCTCAATCAAAGTTCTTCTAGAGCATCTCCGCAGTCGCTTAATGAGTCCACATCTTTTTCTGCCTGGCTATCGGCCGGAGAGGGGGGGAGGGGGGACTGCCTTCTGTTGCCTTTTGCGGTCGTCCGGGACGGTTTGTCCCCGGCTAAACTTTTGTCCTCACCCCACATCCTCTCGTTTCTTTTCCTCTCTATCTTCGACACTCTTTCTCGTCTGTTCGACTGGTGTTTTGTGTGGTGTGTGTCTCTTGCTTTCTCTGTACATTTTTATGGCGTTGCCTTTTGCTTTGTTTCGTTTTTGCTGGTTTCAAGGGATCCGTGGACCAAGGACCAAGGCAATTTAGTTTCGCTGGAAATGATAATTTTCACTTGAGCGAGCGCGTGAAAATGAGGAGAGGGGGAGGGCGGCGGTTGGGGGGTCTCTGCTATAAATTGCCAATTAATGGCAGAACCGCAACGGTACTCGCTCGGCGGTATTCGCTTCGATTCGGATACGCAAAAAGTATTCCCCGTCACACATGGCGTATGGGTAATATTGACTTCTTTACCGATTTTGGCCCACTGTTCCACAGCTCTCCTTCTCTCTCTCTCTCTCTCTCTCTCTCGGTTGCCCCTGTCACGCTTCACTTGCCTGTCGAGCGCTGCATTCAAATGCACTCGATCTAGGCAAAACTCAACCCCAGACCCAGCCCCCAGCCCCCAGCCCCCCGCCCCCACCCCCATTGGCTCCTCTTTTCGGTCAAGCTTCGTGCTAAATTCGTTGCGGTTTTTGTGGCTTCCTTCCGGTCCTTGCTTCTCCACTTCCTCCGCTGAGCTGGTTTTTCCTCCTTCACTCGCAAAGAAAAACAAATACGCCTCGAATTTTCGGCACAAACAAAAAAAAAGAAGCGAATGAATAATTGAGCGTATGTGGTGAATAGGAATGAGTGTACTCATTGTTGATGCACACACAGAGAGAGAGAGAAAGAGAGAGGAAGAGGGGGGATGCCTTGTGCCGGTAGTCCTTTAGAGACCAAACTATCAATAATCGAAATTAGATCCTGGATAAATTTCAATAAATACTATTATATTGGAGGTTGATCCCGCCTCGCTTTCCACACCCCTCTCTCTCTCTCTCTCTCTGTCTATCCCCTTTTAATGCTTTAATACTAATCACATTTCGTTTATCATCAGTTATATTGCTTGTTGCACAACCAGCGGCGAGGCAGACAAATAAATCAGACGCACATCTAACGTTCCATCGAAAATCGTTGGCCTATGCCTCGTCCTCCGATATCTGGCGGTACATAAAACTGTCTGGGCAAAATGCTAAAACAAACAAGCAGCCAGCAATAACAGCAATTCCAAGCACAGGCACTGCACAGGCATGGCATAATATTAGTAGCCCCCGACCCCGACCCCGACCCCGCCCCCGCCACCAGCACCCCTTCCCCTTTTGAATTGGCAAAATCAAATTATGTTTATTATTTATTTATTTTTAATACTCCCCTTCTCACGACTAGAACGCCAATGGGATAGTTAGATTTATGCATAAAACGAATATATTGACCAAATACTCAGACACGTACAGTGCAAGTCATCGAGGTATGGCTGGTATAGAAAACTATTATTATGGAGGCACTGCAAGGCACTCCCCCCCTACCTATCCTGGATATTTATATTATTATTATTTTTCAC